CCTCATGTTGTGACCCAACCATAAAATTATTTTCGTTGCTACTTCATAACTGTAATGTTGCTATTGTTATGAATCGTAATGTAAATATCTGATATGCAGGATGGTCTTAGGCGACCCCTGTGAAAAGGTCGTTCGACCGTCAAAGGGGTCGCGACCCACAGGTTGAGAACCTCGGATCTAAGATAATGCACTCAAAGTGTGTATGTAGTACAGCACATAAGAGTTCAACAAATATTTAATAGTAATTCCTCCCCTGGAGCATAGGCTCATGCCCACTGTCAAACCTTTGTTCAAGTACCTGGCACCCACATTCTTAGCTCTGTCTAGGGAGACTTGCCCAGTTACATCCCTTAGGAAACTTTTCTTGGCAACACTCTCCTACCATCTTAGGACCCTTTCCTATGCCCCACACTCACACTACCTGGGCCAGCGCGGACAATGGCCAACTCTGTGGGATAGCTCTACATGCTGAGCCAGGACAGGGAAGACCCCCTACATGAGGGGTCTTACTAGGCACACAGGAAGCTCTGTAGAAGGGCTCAAGAGAGCTCTTTGGATAGATAAGGGGCAGAGCGGGAAAGTAGCTATCAGAAAGACCCTCTAGAGCAGCGGTCGCCAACCTTTCGGACCTCACAGACCACGAGTGGTCCATGGACCACCGGTTGGCGACCGCTGCTCTAGAGTACTTCTTTTTAGGAAATACCACTCTTCTTTTCCAGCAAAAGAGCAGTTTGAGATCTCTAAACAGACACAAGGGAAATCACACATAGATTAGAGCTGTAGTAGGACAGTATGTACTAGAAACAATCAGGCGAGGACAGGGAGTGGAACATGATAATTTCTACAAATTTACCTGAGTAATTCTGACTTCCTGAGAGCTCTCTTCAGTTACTATGGCAACAGTATCCCAATTAGATTCTTACCCTCACACTATCACCATTCAGCATGGCACTCTCCTACACACACACCTGGTTTTCACTGCTATTGGAACCCACTTGTTAGTAATGGGTTTCATCCCAGGCTGCATATTAAAATTGCCTGAAGAGCTTTTAGAAATCCTGATGCCCAAGCACACTCCAGACCAATTAAATCAGAATTTTTATTGACATTTGTTTGTTTGTTTATTTGTTTGT